ATTCGCTCTCTTCAGTACTATCAGAGTATTCAGATTCATCTTCACTTCTTGACTCTTCTTCACTACTAATCAAGTTAGCAGCTCTTAATGTGTTGATCACGACTGGGTCTCTTGTCCCTTTCTTGACTGCAGGCTTTCTTCTATGTATATGTTGGAGCCCGAGTTTGACATCGTTTGCAGCATTTTTGTTTTCGGCTAAATAATCTGCTACGGACACAACTAAATGTGTATTTTGTAACAAGTCCCATATACCTGGTCTTTTTAAATCTATTTCCAATCTTTTCCGCGGTTTTCTTACAACCCTCTTTTTCTTGTCATCTGAATTATTCATTACCACATCTTCTACATTGACTGGGTGATTTAAATTTTGTAATGGATGACTGTCTGTTGATTCCAGATTAATTCTTGGATAAACATTACTTTCTCGATTGGTGTTATGACTTGTAAATTGTTGTATGGGTGGTAAGGTGTATCCACTTGATCTTGAAGGATGCTCTACTATAATGGGTTGTTCAGCTGGAATCGGTAATTCTCTCTCTTTTCCTTTCCGTTTTCCAGGTCGTTCTCTTAATGTTCTGGATTCTTGAGAATCGTTGTCTCTTCCGCGCTTTTCGGCATAGTAAATATCAGAAGTGGTTGGTTGAATTGTTATTGTGTTTGTATTATTTTCTTTTTTTGAGTTTTCTATGTTTTGATTAGTTTGTTTTGTATTTTGATCGTGGTAATTATAATCTCGACTTTGGGCACCAGTGTTACCACTTACTGGAGCCCACTCTCTTTTCCCAATTCGGTTGTGTTGGCACCACTAGTAATTCTTTCTTGACTTTGATTTCTTTGAGGCTCTCTACAGTATCTACTGGGGTGACCATCTTTGCCGCAGTTCCAGCATGTCATTCTTTTTTCACCGTATGGTGGCCTACTAAACTGTGAGGTACCAAATGTGTTTCTTTGATTGTTTACCATATTTATGCTCAATTTATTTACGGCTTCAATCAATTGATTGATAGTTTCATCAGAATATCCACTAATTCTTGAATCCACTGAAGCATTGCTGTTATGTTGCGATTCATCTTCTTTCGGCAAAGCGAAATTGACCTTCTTTTCGATTTCGTTGTTTTTGAGGCGAACACTTGAGTACTTCTGGTGTAGCCTTTCGACTTCTTTAGCCTTTTCAGTCCATTGGTGATAGGTCTTCAAATTTTCTTTGACTTTTTCAAGTTCGTAACCAATGTCAGGATTGACGGAATCAATGAAGAAACCGACCTTCAGTTCATCCTTAGTGAGGTTTACGGTCTTGAACAATGAGTTCAATTCGCTAACGAAATCGGCAATACTCTTCTTTTCTTGTCTTATAGATCTGATTCTACTCCATGCATCGGCTTCTTGGCATCCCATATACTTGTCTTTAAATTGTTCTTCGAATTTATCCCAAGAATCTATACTCTCTTCCAACTCGTCCCACCATTCAGCAGGTTCCCCTTTTAAGTTCAAACCAACAATTAGGAGGGAGTTTTTATCAGATACTTGAGCACCTAATCGAATCCTGTTGAAGTTTTTCAACCATATAGTAGCTGTTCTCTCTTTTCCATCACTTGCGTCGAACATTCCGATTGGCCCCAAAAGCTTGAGAAATTCATTGCTGTTATTTTCTTTTCCACTCATGTTGTTTCTTTTTTGATAGCTAATAAATTTGATAGTTGCTGTCTTCGTATTGTGCTGTTGACTTTGAATTTTAAATTAATTTGTTGTCAAAGAAAAAAAAATTTTTTTTTTCTTGATAAATGCTATTTTCAGATATCTGGTGAAATGATTATAGTTTGTTGTAGCACGGTAAATAATGTTGTTTGAGCCAGATATTATTTCTTTCAGTAGGTGATAATAAATGTCTCGGCAGGACCTCCAATGATAAGTTTACGGTGCTTAAGTGTGAAGTTGTAGATTTCGATAAAGGGGTTGATTAAACTCTAAATTGATTTCTAAGTTTTTCTGGTTTTGTTTGATTGATTTCTCTTTTGAATCGACTTGTAGACGCTCTTCTGATTATTATTCTTGAATCGGTTATCTTTTCAAACCCTTTTTCACTATTATCACACAAGAAATAAAGCTCAAACGAACTCTCCAAATTCAATTACTAAGATAAAAATAATTTTATTTGTTTTTCTAACTGTCAAAAATATATTCTATGAATTGCTTGTATTATGTAATGTTCCGGGTGTGCGGTAAATCCCCGGCTCGGAACAAGCTATTAAAGATTTTATTTTTTTATACTTCGTATCAAAAGAAAAGTGAGGGATTAGCTCAGCGGTAGAGCGGAAGATTGCAAATCTTTAGGTCCCGTGTTCAATCCACGGATCTCTCTTTTTGTATAGCGAGTTTTACTTTTGCGCTGTTTGAATTATGATGATGAATTCGTACAGAGGATAGTGTTACAGGACAAAGGATAGTTTTTGCAGTAACTTGAGAAAGAGAACAAATAGATATAACAGAGCAATCAGGCAGCAAGGTTATAAGTAATGAGCACCAGGTTTTAAGTCGTCCGACTAGAGATATAAGTAAAGTAAAGAGAATAAAGTAATTTAAAAGAAGAGATGTAATATATGAATACAATGATCTATAATAAGTATCAAGGGAACTAACAACTATATGTGGATTTAGGTAGTGAATATGTCAAACTACAACCAAGCGTAAAGTAAATAAGAGAAATGTAAGTTGAGTTTATTAATAAGAGAAGATTAAAGAGTTTATATACTATTCTAAAAGAAGTCATGTTGGACTTGCAAACTAATAATTTAAACAGTCAAGTTAATGAGTCATCATGTATGGATTATTGATACATGTCTAAAAGTTCTGTTCATTATGATATGGAAAGTCAGAGAAGGATTCTAATAATTTGTTGTGTAATAAAAGATCAAGAGGAGCTGTCAAACGAGTAAAATACCAATTAGGAAATACAGAGTTAGATTCAAATCAGCGAAAAGAAGTCAGAAAATAATTGAGTACTAGGAAAATTTCTGTGCGTAACATCTCCTCCGGGTTGGAAGAAGATCATGACCCATGGTCGTCAAAAGGATTCAAGTAAGAGTCAGTCTTGCACCAAGAGTCTTGAAAAATATAAAGGTCTTGAAATACCATCGTGAAATAAATTGATAATTGAAATTGATTCATTGAAATAAGTTGAATTGAGATGGATCAGTTGTTGAATATAGTTGAAGTACTGATGTGGGAACATTGAGAATTGTAAATAATTGTTGATAACATTTGTTGAAGTTGATAATTGAATGTTCGAAATACTTTGTTGATAATAATTTGTCGAAGCAATAATTGTGGATGATAATTTGTTGAGAATAATTGTTGAAGGTGAGGTAACAATTAAAAGGTTGATGGCAAGGAACAGCCAAACTGATTGCGGAAGGTTAGAAGATCAGAAGTATTGACGCATCTTGGAAATAAAGTGGCAGGATAATAAAATATAGAGTCTTGATGAGATTTTCTTGAGTAGTATATAATCTTGATAAAAATTTCTTGAAATGTAAAACTTGATAATAATTTCTTTCTTAAAAAAATGATTTATTTGAGAGAGGAAAAAAAATGATAATGGTATGCAATATAGAGGAGCACCAGAGAAAACCACAAGGGGAAAAAGCAGAGGAAACAAAAGAAAAGGAGAAAGAGAAAGCGACAACAACCAAAAGGAGACAGAACAAAGCACACAAGAGAGACCAAACTTATTCTTCCAAAGAAGCATTACGGGTCCAGGAGTCAGCGCGGCGAACAGCTTTCATGGCGACATCGTACAGAGGGAACTGGTCGTGCAGGATTGACTTGAGCACGTTGGCACGGTCGAATTGATAGGTGGAAAGGCTCTTTTTGGTTGTGGGCTGTTGGAAGAGATGGTGGCAATATTTCACCGTTTCTAGTACCACCTGATCCAGGAAGTCTTCTGCCTTGCGGGTGAGAGCATCCCTTTGCTTGATAATGTCGGTGTATTCTTTGTACCAGGTGTTGAACTTGTTGTTCGCCTTTTGGGTGGCACTCATCTTCTTCTTTTTTTGCTTGGGGGAGTCTTGGATAGTGAGGCCATTGAGGCGGTTCCACTTGGAACGACCTTGAATTCGGATACCAACAGGGTTGGCTTCGGCGACCAGAAGGGGAGTGGAAGAGAAACGCGAATCTTGAAAGATGCTTTCGGTAATGGGTTGTTGATCGGCATTTTCGAAAAGATTTTTGGTGGATGCCGTGATGGTAATGTCAGGTCTTGCCTTACCTGTTTGGACTCCGTTGGCCAGTTGTTCGTCAATTTCCATGTTAGACACATGTACGTCGCGGACAACCTCACCTTCGAAATCACAGTAAGTCATTGTAGTTATAGTAGTAAAAGGGTAGAGATAGAGGGGGAGAAGAGTAGTTCAAAGAATGAAATGAAGTGTGTTAAATGTTGGGTAAATACTGTCTTCATATACTATTTTTCTTGAATTTTTTTGAACTACAGCTTTTTTTTTTTTGATTTTTTTTTTGACAGGTATCACAAATAAAATTTTGAAGTAAATGTAACAATGAGTAATCAAATAAAGGTTCGGGTAATTTGATTCCATTTGGAGTGGCTATCAACATAAATTTTAAGTCGATTACCATGGACACGTTTTAAGAGAGTATCGTCAGAATCAGCGGACTTGATATGATAAGTAGATTTTCCAAGTAGATGTTGAATAATATAAGGATCTTCCCAAGTAGTTTCGATTTTTCCGCTCCAAGAAGTAGAACGATAATCTTTGTAGAGAAGTACACGGTCACCAAGTTTGAAAGGCGGCTTTAGAGTTCTTGTCGTTTCCAGGAGGGTCTTGTCAATTCTTTTTATTTGATTCTTTTGAGAAGTTTCAATGTTCTTGATAGCTTGTTCACGGATACGGTTAAGATATAAGATTTGCTGAGAAGTACGGATAGTCAGTTCGAAATCGAAGCTTGCATCTTTTGGATTGTATAGTCGATGATTGTTATCGAAAGGAGTTGAAGGTTCATATCCATACATCATGTAGAAAGGAGAATACTTGGTACTTTCTTGCTTGATAGTTCTGTAGGCAAATAGAGTAGCTTGAAGATACGTATCCCAGTCTTTCTTTTGAGAAGGATCTCTTCGTTGGAGTACTTGATCAATAACACGGTTAAACCTTTCAACCAAACCTTGACTTTGGCTGTTGTAGGGAGTAATAGTCTTGTGTACAATATTGTATTGTCGGCATACTTGCTTAATAAGTTCTGAAATCATCGGTTTACCATTGTCAGTGTGTATGAAACGAGGGCAACCATGTCTGCAGATGATATCTTCATATATAAACAGGGCAACATCAGAAGTTGTTTGAAACTGTAAGGCTCTAGCTTCTACATACTTCGTCAGATAATCAATACCAACAATAATATATCTTGAACCAATTCGGAAAGTGGACACATGCTTGACATCAATGGATACACGGTCAAAGGGTTTAGCAGGACTTGAAACAGGAATCGGGTGTAACCTTTCGGATTTGATTTTGCTTCCTTGGAGTTGACATTGAGGGCATTCCTTGATAAATTCCATGATGGATCTTGACATGTTATTCCCAATAATACTTTTGAGATATTTTGTGAAGCGTGTTTGAATAGGCAAAGTGTCCTCCCAAAGGATGATGATGATACATAATAATTGCTTCCTTTGCTTCATTCGAAGTTAGCACTTTCTTCAAACCAGAGTTGACTTCAGGATTAAATCGATACAAGATGTTATTGTGGATGGTAAACTTGTACGAATTCTTCTTAAGATAGGCTTCTTCTTTCTTGCTAATACTAGGCGGATATTCCATAGTAGTCAGGTAGTTCTTGATCAAAGTAATTGTAGTTTCTTCCATAGTAGCAAATAAGTGGGATAATTTTAGGTATAATTGTATTAATTCACAGACAAGGAATTATAAATTGGCATTTAGATGTTTTGGGTAAAATGGGTACTATTTTTGGATTTTGGCAAATTTTTATTACAACAATAAATGAGAGATATATTGTTTCTAGGCTTGAGATTGTTTTTCCGAGTCTTTTGTAGGATTTTGAATTGTTTTTGGCTTTTCCATGAGTAATCAATAACAATGAGCTTTTTGAGACTTCAACACAGCTTGGTCTAGTAAGAGCTTTTAACGACATCACTTCCACTGGTCAGATGACAACAAAGTTTTAAACGACGTTTGTGAAGTTGGTCGATCATTGACAAAGTTTAATGACTTTAGCAGATTACTGGTCATATACGACAAAGTTTAACGACGTTAGCGGAACTGGTCGGTTAAGTATGTAAAGATATTAATAGCCAAGACGAGACAGAAAGTCAGGACCATTATGTTTCTTGCCAGGGCGGTATTCGATCTTGAAATCATATTCGGCGATAGCTTGTAACCAACGTGCAATAATACCAGAAGGGTTCTTTGTTTTTAGTAATCCGTTAAGGGCGGCATGATCACTTATGACAGTAACAGTACACTTATTACCGAGGACATAGGGCCTAAATATCTTGAGGGACCAAACGACAGCACAGAGTTCTAGTTTGCTAATACCATAGTTACGTTCACCTTTAGTAGTAGAGCGACTTGCATAGATAACCGGATGTTCATAACCGTCTTCATCTTTTTGGGATAATATACTTCCAAGACCATCAATAGAGGCATCACATAAGATGTAGAAAGGTTTGTCAAAGTCAGGGATCAAGAGTACAGGAGCTTCTACCAGTTTTTGCTTAAGAAGATGAAAAGATTCATTGGCTTTATCAGTCCATTCGACTTTTTCTGGCATATTGTCTTTGGTAAGATCGTGTAGAGGACGAGAGATCTTTGCAAAGTTTTCAATGAAGCGCCGATAGTATGAGGCCAGAGACACGAAACTCTTGATTTGTTTCTTGAGAGTAGGTACAGGATAAGTGGTAATCTTGTCAGTAATAGCAGTACTTTGTTCAACACCTTTTGATGAGATAACATAACCGAGAAAATTGATTCTGTCAGCAAAGAATGAGCATTTAGCGGGATTGAGTTTGAGACCACCTTTTTCGCAACATTCAAAGGTTTTGGCAATAGCTTGTAAGTGATCTTCAGCAGTACCAGAAGTATAGGTAGTAACATCATCCAAGTAGGCAATCACGCATTTGTTCAGTAGAGAGTGGAAACATATTTCAACCATTTTCATAAAGTCACTAGGAGCATTGACTAAGCCCATAGGTAATCGATTGTAAGAGTAGCTACCAAACTTGCACACGAAATTTGTTAAGTGACGAGAGGACCGATCTAGAGGCATTTGATGAAAACCAGCACGCATGTCAACTTGAGAGAATAGGTTGGCTTTTCCAAGAGTATC